ATAAACATTGCCATTATTTTTAATCTACTAATTACAGTTGTCTAGTCAAAAGAAAATTCATTGTTTTTTCTTGTATTATAGAGTGCAGCTTATTGTAGAAAATAGAAGCATTAAGTATAATAGCAAAAGATTTGATAATTAACTACATTGAAAGACATCTCATAGTTGCAGTTTTATTGCCAAGTAACTGTCTACTTGTGTGAGTTATTTACCTGCTTTATGTCTCTCTCTTTAGCTGTGAAGCTGTCTACTTTGGTCATGCCCACCCACATGCTTCCATTCTTTTTCTATTCTTTTCTCTATTACCTCTCAGGATCCCATATAAACTAATAAAAATAACTCGGAGTATAACTGACCCTTATAAATTAAATAGATAACCAGCCTCTTTCTTAAAATAATGATGGCAGGAAAACAAACAAGGCTTTGATAATTGGGCTGGTCAAAATAGTGGACAGTATGAGAAAACCTGTGCAAGATCTCGCCAGACAAAATCCCAGTATAGAGGGCATGAAGGTGAATACGTAACCCCACCAGTACCTGAGCAGTTGATGGCTGCTGGGAGAGGGAGAGTCGAGGACTTTTTTATAACACAACAGAGCAAGTCCCAATCCCAAGATGAGCTGGACAACAAACTAGAGTTGTGAGCCCAGTTCCAATGAATATATCTACAAAACATTCTAGCACCTAATGCTTAGGGAACATTGTGGAAAATGGCCAAAAGATTGTAAGAGGCATAGGATCAGGAACTTTTCTGTGAAATTGTATCTTCTAGTAATATCAGAAGTTACTCCCATGAAGCCTTAACCAACATGACTGCCTAAACTTAAGCCAAAGAAGAAAGGCATGGATATCTTTAAAGGATGTAGATTTCTCTATATGCAATACTATTTTCTTTCTAAAACTTGAGATGTTTTAGGAAAAGATTTGACCCCAAGTGTTAATAAAACCTGGACTATGAGAAGCAAGTATTTTAACATCTTATTTTGATAAAAATGAATTAGCTTACTAATAAAATTAGTCCTCCAGAGTATCTGGGGCTGTTTAAAAATTTACCATGATAAAAGAAATTACATAAAATTAGTGCCTAACAAAATATCATTTAATCATTTAATTTTTATTATTTACTCTGATAGCGGGTTACTATGTACTGACTGTTTCTTGGTTTTGTTAGACAGTTTTTAATATGCTATGGCTTCATCCTTGATAAAAGCTTCTGGATTTCAATAAGAAACAAACCAATGTGGACAAAACAAGGTAGAGATACAAATATGAGCAGTTATTCAAAATAGTGAGCTATAAAATAAGTATAGTGGAGGAAAAATGTATCAACTGGTAAATTATGCGAATATGTGCATCACAAGATCCTAAGGAATAGAGGACTGTTTAGAGTAACCCAGTGGCAGTGTTTTTAAACTGCTTACCAGTTTGTGAATTCTGGACATTTAATAATTTTTAGTTTTCCTCTATCATTTAGTAATCTTGAAAAATAGATAAACTTCTTCTAAAATATTATCGCACCAAAGATATCTTGGTAGTCTCCATTTGGGAGCCTACTGAATATATAATACAAGCAACCTATGATTGCATTTCAGCCTGGTCTCTGAGTAATTCTTATGTGGAAAGCTGAAATTTGAAATTGATTATATTGACTTAAATGTGTTTGACTTGCAGATACATTGCTCTTTTACAAAAGAAGTTTTTATTTGTGCTGCCAGTTAAAAGCTACCATTACTAATTGTTTCTAGGTAGAATTTATCTGCTTCCTCCCCTGCTCTTCCAGCCCTATAATTGTGTCGGTTAAACCAATCAAAGGAATCCCAAACGTCCTGATCTAATGTTTAAGGTTTTACATGTGAACACTTAAAAAGTAACAATCGAAAATCCATTTTTTCATAAAAATTCACTGAGAGTCATTTAGCTATGTTTATTTTAAATGGTAAGTTTAATTCTAACATCTGTATATGTTTTGTTGTACTGGTTGAAAATCTTAACTACCTTGGTCACCTGATGTCTGCTTCTTTAGAGTTTCTTTTTAAAAGATTACATCAGAATCATTGAGCATGTACCACTAGTTCATTTTCCAAATACTGTTAAATCTACAGTTATAAATGTAATAAGTTGAGACACTGTACCACAGCTGGTGGAAATTTTTCTAAGTTTGAAATTTGACTGAAACAAGGAATGCTTTAATCCAGTTGTATTGCATTTTATAAGAAGAGTGTTAACTTTTAAAAGTAAATAGTTGTCCTTTCATATAATTTCACGGCATTTATGCTTCTAAAAACATTAAACTTTAAAAAACCATTAAACTTGAAATGTCATGAAAACTGTGGATTCCTGTGTAGTTAGGGCACATCTGTGCAAATGCTATGTGATTTGGTTGCATTTCTGGTGCTGTAATTAAATACCTGAACATGAAGCAATGTAGGGAAGAAAGGGGCTTGTTCTATTAAGTAATTCCAGCTACAGTCCATCATGAAGAAGTCAAGGCAGGAACTTCAGTCACCTGACCACAACAAATTTACATTGAAGTGCAGAGAAATTAATGCTATGTTCTTTGCTTGCTTGTTTGTGCTCAGCTCAGTATTTCCATTCTTACGTCATTCAGAAATGTTGCCTAAGAAATGTCGTAAGCTGCAGAGAACTAGGTCTTCCTATATTAAGTTAATATTAATAGTAAACTATTTTACTAAATATATTTACCACCATTTGTAATTTTAAATTTCATATTAAAGCATTAAACAGATTGATATAATTGTCATTCCATAGTATTCCACAGTATTTAGTGTGTTTCCATCCATTGCGCTATTATCTTCTTGTGTATTCAGATTATTCTCTTTAGGAAATATGAATCTCTCCATGTTAACTCATAGATCAATACTAGTTACTTTAGATAGTTTCATTCTATTTTAAATCAAAATATGATTAAGTCTTACAGTATACTTCTAGTCTCATTGGAATTAGGCATTTTCCAAGAAGGCCTTGGAAATGGTATAACAAGACCACAAAACTGAAAAATTAATTTTTACTAAGTTGATCTTTGTTCCTATGCCTTCTCAATAGCAGAGATAAGAAATGTTACGTACATACATACATATTGCTAAGTAAGTAAAAAAACCCTTATACTCTCTTAATGTTTCACGTATGTAGGTATGTATGTATGTATGTACCTGCTTTCTACCTTCTAAAATAATAATTATTAATGATACAGGTCTAACAGAATGATACATGGCTTTTTGTTTTGTCATAAAGCATACAGAACATATTTGGTACATTAATACTATGTACAACAGGCAGAGGTTGTTAAAAATACTTTTGAGATTATTTTGACAGTTCTTTGTGTCATACCCACATTAGATACAGTGTTAAATTATTATCTTGTGTGATTATTATGCCTTTAGTAAGGTATATACATCATTATGCCACTACTAGAATATGCATTTAAATGGTATTTACTTTAAGGAGATTCCCTTTGAAGTTTGATTGTTTAATAATAGCCTATGATTCTGGGAAGGCAGATAGATAAATGATGAAACTTAAATCCATTGCCGAAGAAAAAGCATGGGGAGTCCAGGAAACCTCCCAGCTCTTTCCAAATTATCTGTTCCCAATGCAGTTGTGCTCAAAAATAATTTCTGTAACATTAAATTCTTCCAAATTTAGACAATATTATAAGTTCATTTTCCTTAACTTGGTTTCTCTGTATTATGTAATTCATAATTAGTTATCAAAAGTTGACTTTGTTTAAGATATATACAGACACTTAAATAACTATGTTGGTAGACCTACTTTTCTTCTTTAGCACGTGAGACTCAATCCTAAATAATACCCTTAGATTATGAAAGTAATCTACTTAACTTTTCCTCATAAAACCATGTCCTAATTATCCAGGTAAGGTGACATATGCCTTTAATTATAGCTACTCAAAAAACTGAGGCAGCCAGGCTTGACAATATAACAAGATTCACAATAAAATGCTCCTGATAAGTAAATGTGTTCTTCTGCTATGAGTATGTACCTGAAGATTATCTGAAGAAAGTATTTTGCTTAAATAATTATATAAAATAGGTCTTCTTTTTAAAATAAATTTCAGAGGAAACAAAACAGAATTATTTAAAATACATAGCAGTAGAAAATGGATTTTTGGGTAATGTGCCAAGTAATTGTTAATTGTTAATTTTGTATTTTTAAGTAAAAGTAATAGATTTTTTCAATTAAAAATATGATGCCAAGCAAGAGTAATATATTGCAACAGCATATTTATTACCTATGTGTAAGTCTCTGGGTCAAGCAGTTTATCTCATTTTCTCACCTAATTCTCTGATCACTCTTATTGGTTCATTACTAACACATATCATGCCTATGGTCAGTTTACACATTTCTTGTAGAAAATGACAAGCATTACGCTTCTAAGTAGAAGTTATCTTTTCATATTGTGACTTACTGGTTAACTAACAGCTGAGATAAAAATATAGTTGTCTTTTAAAATAATTCTTTACAATTTCAGAGATTCAAATTTATGTAAGAACTATAAACTTGTTATTTTAAATATATAATATATATTTGGTAGCTTGTGTCATTAAAAGTATAAAAGTATGATATTTTGATATGAATGTTGAAATATTATTAATAGTCTAACCTTAATAAGTCAATGGTTAAAATCTTGGAGATATTTTGACAGATTCATTTATCACAGGTAAAATTTTAGATAGAAAATGTCTAACAACTTTTTTTAATGTTTCAAAAAGTAGTCTTAACATCTACTGCACTTTGTTGTATGTGCTTAAAGTTAGGCAAACTAGAAAATATGCTTTAAGACAAAGTAACTAACCATCTAACCTTACCATTGGTTCTACTTGGGTAATAAAAAAAGTAAAATTTTCAAATTTTTCCAATTCTTATTTTAGTTTTTACTTGAAATGATAAGTTTTCTTAGTACATTTACTAAAAACATATTTTCAAATGAACACTAATTTTTCAACATTTGTTCTTGTTTTCAGGATTGCACTGTATATGAAACTGAGAATAAAATTCTTCACGTGGTAAGTAGATTTAGATATATTGTATCATTATTGCACAATATTTACTTGACAATTAAAAGAATATGACTTGCAAAAAGTAATCCATAATAAAAAATAAATCTGCTAACCTACATTAGTTAAATATGTTTTAGGAAATCTATAAAAAATCAAAACATGTTAGTTTAAGTCATGTTGTTTTAGCTAATAGAAAAATATGATCTAATAATATTTGAATATTATAAAATGAGGCAAGATTGGAGTCAAATAAAATTATCTTGAAAACAGAATTGGAGAGGTGAACTTTTCTCGTTAATTTATGATTTAAAATATATCAGAACAAGGAATTTTCTTCAATAATGTGGGTAATTTATTATTATGTTCATTTGGATATTTCCTAAGACCATCAAACTTCTTTGCTCTGATCTTATACAACCAGGCTTCTAGCTGGCAATTTGTCAGTATTTGTTGAATCCACTAGTTTCTTTTTTACATTTATTTATTATGTTGATGATGGGTGAGGTATGAATACATGCCACAGTAGAGATCAGAGGAAAGTTTGCAGTCTCATTGGAATTTTGCCTTGTGTTTTATTTTGAGAAATGAGTTATTGTTATATTATACTCAGTGAAGAGTTATCTCTTGTTAGCAGATACCTTACTTCTTTACTTTTTGTAAATCTACTTTCTAATTTTTTAATACCTTCTTCACTTCTGCTAAGAGAATACAGTACACCTGCAGTTATTACGTGGTAGTAAAAATCCACATGCCTTGTTCATGATTTGGGGATTTATTAATCAGATTTTGGGATTTACTAATCATTTTGATATTCATAAAATATTGTATTTCATAAATGATCCATATCTAAAATATTTTGCCTAAATATATGGGGGGAAAACTTGAACACAGAATGGCAACAGTGCTGACTTAATGTTCTTCCCCTCACTCTGTAGCAGTGATGACTTTTGTCATTTCTTTGGGGTGGTCTCAAGAATGAACTACTAATGAACTCTTCTCTAATTTGGTCTAGGAAGAAAGAAATAACTATCCTAATTCTTTTTAGGTACTAATATCCATAGATTCTAGAGAACAGAAAGGAAATAATATTTATTTATTTAAGATAGATACATGTGTATATATATTCCCAGCATTAGCTTAAATTCTATAAGCATATTACAGGTTGAGTAGTAATCCTGAAGAAGTGAGTTCTCTCCTACAATGTGTGTTCCAGAGTTCAAACTCAGGTCATCAGACTTGGCAGCAAATGCTTTTTTAACCTCTGAACCATCTCACCAGCTCCAAAAATCTAAACTTTTTAACCATACATATGAAGCCAAAGATACTGTAAATGGAAAATTCCATACCTGACCTCATATGATGGGGCTCATTAGAAATTGAGGCTCACAACACAACTAATCCAACATCACCAAGGAAAAAAATGACTCTGACCTCAACAGAAGTTCTGATCTATCTTTTTCTTATATCTAATGCAAGAATATCTTCAAAGGATAATGAAATGGCATTATGGGGGCCAGCTGTAGGTTCTGCATAAGAACTGTGTATATTACTAACCATGGTTGATGTCTTTAATTAATTTGCTTATTCCCTCTGTAATATAAAGACATTACTAAAATATCCCCCAAAATGTCTGTAGATAATCTGTGTGTGTCACCATGAAAAAAGATAGAGATATGTTGATCTGTAATACAGAAAGTAAATTGTTGAAGAAATGGGAGAGCAGAGTGAGTATAAAACTTCTCACAGAAGAATGTGGTATTGGAATGGCCACTATGTATGATGTAAAGAACTGTTAAAGTACTATGCTAAAATGCTGAACAAAATGACACATAAAAGCCAGGCGTTGGTGGCACACACCTTTAATCCCAGCACTCAAGAGGCAGAGGCAGGTGAATTTCTGAGTTCGAGGCCAGTCTGGTCTACAGAGTGAGTGCCATGACAGAGTCCAAAGCAATACAGAGAAACCCTGTCTCAAAAAACAAAACAAAATGGTGCATAAATTAAAAACTGAAAATCTCAGTTACATATTTAAGTAGTGAACTCACTACATTGTAATCAACACCCTACACTTAATGTGCTAATTACAATGAAACAAGGGTGGATCTACCTCAGTGAATTGTAACTTAAAGGGAACTGTGAGTATTTCCTGTGCTAGGTGTAGAAGTTTGAAAAAAGACTCATCATGTAAGTTTCCAAGATTTGTTGTGATAAAGTTTCTGCTTATGGGAAAATGAAACTATTCACTTAAATAGATATCAAAGGCTATATTATCATTGAGACTCTAATTGTTCATTCATTGGCTGGCAGTAAAATATTCAAAATGGTTCTGAATCAAGATGATCATGATAATAGTTACAATGAAGATGACATTTTTAACACAGCAGAGAAAGTGCCTATTGTTGACACAGTGAAAACAGATAATGGGCTTATTCGAGGAATAGAGAAATGTTCATTTATAACAGAACAAGAAATTATAATAGTTCATAATATCAAGGAGAGACTTCTGAGACAAAATCTGTTTTTAATGGGGGCAGATGAGTCTGGAAGAACCATTTAAAAGGTATCCAGTACAGTGCTCCCTTATCCCTAAGAGACCTAGTCCTTGATCCTGTAACAGTGCCTAGCTAATCCAGTGGCCCTCAACCTTTGGGGCTGAGTGGCCAGTGGTTGCCTAAGACTGTCAGAAAACACAGATATTTACATTGTAATTAATAATAGTCACAAATTGACAGTTGTGAAGTAACAATGAAAATAATTTTATGGTTGGGAAGTCACCTTAACATGAAGAACTGTATTAAACGGTTGTCTTTCTTCTTTGCTAAAACAATAAAACAGTTTTTGCAATAACCTTTTAATCATGACACATTGTAAGTACAGATCAAAAACCTGTATTTGTTTATTACTTCTACAGAAAAAAGCTAATAATAGATATTTTGATCATGCTTAATTGTGTCAGTTACTCTGAACATTAATTTTCACTGTGTCAGTGGTATATCTTATTTTTACTATTGTATACAATGGCTCCTTTGTGATCTCACATGAACTTAGTGTAAACAATGAGAGTTGTATCAGATGGTCACTGGTTAGTCTTGTGAATTGCTGAAATATTGACACCATTTTTTCTGCTGGTTTTGTGTACATAACTTTTTTGCCGGAAGAGTATCTGAAATAACAAAATTGACACATAAATAAATAAAACACACATGGACTTGGTATCTCACTTGGATCACATTCCAAAGTTGTTTGATCGTGTGTGAGCAAATTTTCCACAACAAAATAATTCTTAATGGGAAACACATAATGCTCCAAAGCATTTTATAAGATAAACAGCGTACCCATATTTCATTTAATCACAATTTTACAGTGGGTGAAACTATGCAAATATTAAAATATTTGAGTGCTAAATTTGAACATAAATCTGATGTAGAGGTCCATGCTCTTTTTGGATCTATTAGTTACTGTCCATTCTAGTTCCCTGAGCCCTTGTCAACTGTATTGTCCTGTTTCCTGTGGAACTCAGGCCTACTAATTATCTATGCATGTTGTTTCATGAGAAGACCTGTCATGTCCTATATTTTTTATTTCCTTTAAGTGACTGTCTAATTGGTGTTGAATTTTCTGTAGCAATGACTCTTCATTCTGAACTGTTGAATTTACTTAATTAAACTTTGATCTGCTGTTATAGGTTCTTATGTTTACTTCATGGCTTTTGAGGTCAGTGTGTGTGTGTGTCATGATTTTTCTCTTTGTGTAGTTCTTCAGGAATAATCTCTGATTTGTATCAAAAAACTTGTATCAATTTCCCCTATGTATTGGCTGTTAGAAACCTAAGATTGAAGTAGTTAATAGTTGCAACCATTTTAGATATTAGCTTCATTTTAAGTTCTCATTTATAGTCATGATTTCTATTTGCTTTTTGTTTTTTTACTTGATGTAAATATGGTATATGTTTTCACACATAATAAGGTACGTTGATTAATAGGAAGAATAGGTTCAGTAGAGGAAAATGCAGTATTCAAATGTTGACAAAGTAATTCAAAACAATAATTGCTAGAGTGATATGACAATAAAAAATGTTTCTGAAAAATTCAGATGCCACACTATGACAGGATAGCAGATGTGAACGTTTTATTATTTTATTAATTTTTTCATGTATTATATTCGATTATGCTTTTCACCTGCCCCAATTCTTACCAGATCCTCCCCACCTCCCCACTCACCCAAACAGAAATTAATTTAAAGATAATGTCCTTGTCTAATTTCGATTTTTTTAAGGAAATAAGCTCTTTCAGATTATAAAGTAGTTCTTGAAATTTTATTTAAAACTAAAATAAATAATAATCATTTCTATTTAAAACTAACTTTTTCTTAGATAAATTTCTAATGATGAACTTATTATTTGTTAATTGAAATTATATTAGTAAATTCTATTTACCTTTCTTTTCACATGTCATATTATGAGGTACGTGCTATTACAAATGAGTGACACAATAAATAATACTTCAAAAACATTTAAAATAAATGCAGTTTGTTTCCTTAGGAAAGTTCTACACCCTAGCTATTAAGAAGTTTAACATCCTGTCTGGTGATGATGGATACATTGATAGCATCGGGCCATGTCAGTTCAGCTCAGAATGCTATTCTATGCCATGTTATTATACTTCCCATCCATACTCCACTAAAAATGTCAACTAATAAAACTCTTAACGATTTTTATGATGCATTTGGAAGAAAAAATTCATAGGACACTGACTGGCAATTCAAATTTTATAATTTTTGGATTACATAAAATATTCTGATATGATTGAAACCAAATAAGTAGGTGGACATGGTGACTCACAACTTTAATCCTAACACTTGGAAGGCAGAGGCAGGCAGAAGTCTGTTAATTCATGCCTAGCCTCATCTGCATAGTAAGTTTCCAAGCACACCAAAAGTGAAACCCTCTCTTTTTATAAAAGGTATAAAAAAGCAAATTTCAATGGTACATATAGTATAACAATTGT